AGGAGACTTCTGCTTTTCCGAAAACTGTAATGCTGTTGCTGTTTCCTATGGGACTTGAATTAGGGACTGGCGTGGAGGGCAGGCAGGGCACATGCTCCTGTTCTAAGAAAAAGGGTAAAAGAAAAAATAATCAAGGGTTAGAGAAACCATTTGATAGTCTTGTACTGCAATTAGAGCCATACTGCTCTGAAGTTGTCTTTGGGATTTTTGTTTAGCAGGTTACTTTAACACTGGAAAAGTCTGAAAGTGCTGCAAGGCTTCCAGATCTTTGAGGGCAACCAAGAAGTCTGGCATTTTTGGTAGCAGGCAGGAAGCCTTCTGAGTAACACTCTGTGTTCATTAAAGTCATCACAGCAGGATTTCACATGCTTCCTGCAAATATCAACCCTCAGCAAGGAGTAGTAGCATGGACAGCTTTCCAGGAACTCCAAATGTCAAACTGGCCATTGTGAGGTACAAAGGACAATGCTGCTAGGTGCACTTCGTGCTCCTTCCTTCTGGCTAACACAATGGTTTAATCTTCATATTTTCTAGGGAACAGAAGCTGAAGGCAGGCAACTTGGTTGAACGCTCCAAAGGGGATACAAAACTCTCAGAATTTATTTGCAGATATTATATAGCAAAGCTCCTTTTCCTCCTATTTCCTCTTCAGACCTCCACCTACCTGTGCATTCTCACCTGGCAAGATTGCTTAGGACCCTCTGAAGTCAAGAATAGAGGTCCTCACATGAAAGCAAAGCCTATGATGGGGATCTATATCTATTAGTCAGCACCTTTCCTGCTGTCAAAGTAAAGAAAACCCAGAAACCCAAGCACTGGGGAAAAAAATGCCATTTCTCACCTCTACAAGGAATAGTGAATAACACTTTGCTTCAGAAGGACATGATGGCAGGATGCCTGCAAGGTGAGGCACAAGCATAGCCAAAGTCATCTTCTATTAAAGGTTTAAAACACAACAACTACCTGCAAACTAAGCTGATAAACCATTCCATAAGAGAGGACAATAATGTCCTTTTGCACCCCTGTGCCACAAGAGAGGCTGGCAGAGATGGGATGCTTGGTAGTGGGCACTATGGCCACAACAGGTCACCTTCCAGCTGGGGCCATCAGCCCTCCAAGATACCTTTTAGACTCCTAGACTGAAGAAGAGAGGGTTTTTAGAGGGTTTGCTTTTGGTTAGTATTTCTCAAGCTGAGGCACCCACTTGCTTCTTCTTTAGTCCACAAGTTGCTCCTCACTTCTCATTACCAAACTGTGGAGGAAGGACTAAGAGTGCACCGACGATTTCCACAGCACCATTAACTTCCCAGGACGTTGCATCTCCTTGAAAAGAAGCAGCTGGCATAAAGCACAGAATAATGGAAAGTGAGGCACCCGTAGCAGGGATTGCTGGCCTCACTCTGGCACTTGCAATACAAGGACAACTAGCTTCAGCTTATCATCTGTTTCCCTTGCTTAAGGGCAAAAATATGCTACACTGCATGATGAGGCCAAGGAGGAGGCTTTGATAGCTACATTATGCCTAAGCCTGGAAATGAGACAACACCAGGAACACATATATAAGAGGGAGGACTGAGTGCTTTAGGAGCTCTTCCCGTTTTCAATTACTCCACAATGCAAATATCTTCATAAATACCAGTAAGGTAGAAAAGAGAGAAAGCAATGGGACCCCAAAACAGAGGCTTGCTTCCAAAGTCCACACGAACTTTTTATACCTTTTAGCCATTTCATTTCCCAGGGAGGAAGAAATTCCTGGCATGGGGAGGCAGCAGCACTGTGCTGCTGGAGTGGGGGAGACTGGACCTGCATAATTTCTGTGCTCTACTGGGAGGCAGAAACACAGCCCCGGCAAGCGGTGTGGAGCCAGTTTGCATCTGGAATGAAACACGCCTTCCTCCCCCAAGAGAGTCACCGTGGCAGGGTCAGCAGGCACTGCTCGGCCAGGCTTCCCTTCCTGTGCTGTGGCTGGAAGTCAGCCAGAGACAGCTTAAGACTTTGGAGAAATGAAGAACCCCAAGTGCCAGTTAATTTTTTTTACACAGGTAAATAAGAGCAAAGTGCCTAGAGGTGATGCTTGGCCACTGGAGTGTGTGGAGTCATGGCACAGGGCCGCTCCACTTACTCCAGCCAGGGAGTCCCTGCAGAAGGTTGGATGCTATTTTTGAATCCTGCAGGCAGCATCTCCTGCAGGCTGACAGCCGAATTCCTGAGGCAGGGAGCCTCATAAGGGACTCCACTGCAGGAAAATGAACTCAGCTGTGCAAGGAAAAAGCATATTCAGCAGAATACAGCAGGGCTGGGAGGCACACAGAGCCAGGCAGGCAGAGCTGGCAGCACCCAGCGAGATGACAGCAGGAAAGTGCTGGGAGGCACTGGGCACTCAGCAATACTTCACAGAGTCACAGAATCTCCTGAGTTGGAAGGGATCCACAACGATCATTGACGTCCAACTCCTGGCCCTGCACAAGACCACCCCAAGACCATGACAGGACCACTTCACTGGAGACCTACCAATTTCTCTGCTCCAGCCTCTGGAAACAGGAACCGATTCATGTCTCTGGCTTTCCCAAACTGGATGCTCCTGTAAGAATGATGCTATTTCTCAAGCTGCCAGATGCCTTTTTTCCTTCCCCCTGAAAGGCCCTCTGCATTGCTCCCTTCTGCTCAGTGCACACATTTCCAAGACCTTCCTGTGAAGGCCTGAATTGTCTTGAGGCAGAAGAGGTTTACAACACTCATGCCTTCCCAGTCAGCATCCTATTCTGGTGTGGGTCCCTTCATCAAACGGGAGTAAATCTGAAAGCTGAAGTGGGAGTTGAACATCCAGAAAGATAAAGAAAAGTTGAAGCAAGAACCAAGGATTTTCGCTGCAAAAGTTTAGCGCACATAAAACCACAACTGAAGTCAGAGGAGCTTGGGCTTCAAATAAACAGAGCACAACACACGCTCGCTATGCAGGGAAAGTCTGACCCCAAACCAGCAGCCAGCAGGTAGAGTTCTCCAACCTTGACTTCTCCACCTGCAGAGTCACCCAAGTAAACAGATAGATGGACAGACATTTTTCAAGAGTCAGAGAAAATAAATTCATCACTCCTTCTGCAGCACAGCAATACATCTACAACAAACAGCACAAAGGAGTTAAAATTATGTTAATAATTATATCTTCAGCATTTCAGTGCTTTGCAGCTAATAAAATATGAGGCCAACAGATGAGGGAATACAAAATACTGTGAAGCTGCTCACTGAACATTCATTGTCCCTCCTTACACCAGTCAGACCAGGTCAGGATCTGAGGTTATATGGCGATGCAGAAGTATTAAGGAACAGGGCTAAGGTGCCCAAATCTCCCTGTTTCCAGCATTTCTGAAAGTTCTTCAGCACTCAGCTTTCAGGAAGCATTTCAGAAAGGATTTCCCCTTCTACTACCCAAGCCGGTTAACCTCATCAAGAGGGAATGGTTTCAGAGGAGGGGAGACCTGGTGCCTCCTTTCTGTAGACACCTGTTCAGGACAGGTGGGAATCCCAATCCCCTTTGGTCCTCTCCTTGCATGTTACATGAAGACACAGTGTAGCATTTAACCCCTTATACTATTTGGAAATACTGCAAACAAAACTGAAGTGCAGTACTGATGTACAACCCAAAACCCTAATGTCTTTAAACCAGTATCTTCCATGAAGGATGGAAGCTACAGGTGACCCATCCCATGCAAAACAGAAAGCAAACATGAAATTTCCCTCCTTCCCAGGTCAGGTCCTTCCCCCCTGCTCAAATCTGGGCCCTGGGTGCCCACTCCTGCACCATCATGAGCACTAGAAGGGGCGCATGGTGTGCCTCAAAGTGAGTTTGCAAAATGCAGCCACTGGCGGAGCCAGCACATCACCTTACAAAGTTCAAACACTGCCACAGAGGTGTCTGCTCGGTTTTTTTTCTCTTGTTAAGTTGCCAAGGAAAGTGCAGTGGAAGTTATCTACATGATATCATTGCGAGCTAAGGACCTTGTTGTAAGTAATTTACTTAAATTTCTAGTGAATATATATACACACATTCACGCACACACATGTATGCATATACATATATGCATACATATATATACAGAACAACTGACATGCAATGTGCCTACAACTAGGAAACATAATGCTTGCTTTAAAAAGAGGCATGGTTGACTTGAGAGGTATCATCCTGCAAGATTAAATCATACAAAGTTTTATATATTCTACTGTCAAGTCTGCAACTTGACCCTGAGACTTTCATAATCCTGACAAAATGGTTTGGGGGTTTTTCTTTGCTTTAGAGGACAAAAGGGAGAGGCAAAACACAAAGCCACAAACAGCAAATCTTTGAAGCACAGAGAGGAAAGAGAAAGCAAGCAATGTAAAAACAGATTCAAGCCTTCCACTCCATATTTAGCTGGTATTTACAACAACAGCTAGCTGGGGGAAAAAATAATAATTAGGCAATCAGGTCAATTTTAGGATAAAGAGTGGCCCTTTTACTACACACAAATCCTCCTTCCACCAGACATTTAACCTGTCTTTGAGGGCTGCCGAGAGCTGACTAGAGAGAAACAGAGCATTTCACCATTCACTGCAAATTATGCTTGTTTGCTTGTTTACTGGATTATTTTCAAGGGCTGCAATAAAGGCATAGACTGCCTAAAGGTTTACACACTGGATTTCCTTGCCATCTTGCTACATTTAAGGCCAGAGCAAAACGAAGGGGTTTTTTTCCTTCTTTTTTGTGTTTGCTACAACTCCACTCCAACAATCTGACAGCATGTTGTATTGCCTTGGGCAAGGATACACTTTAGTAGGTTAGGAGAAATAAACTGCACAGTAACATCTTACAACCATCTAAGTCAGTTTTCATATTCAGATCTAAATAAATAGAAGTTACAGTAAGAACTGAGATCAGCACAATGATGCTCATCTGCTACAGCAGGAGATCCCAACCAAGTTTCCACCAAGTGGAAAGTTCTCTGCCTTTCTTCCTACAAGATTTCCAACAGACCTGGAGGAAGTCCACCTATCTCACATCCTTGTCCAAGAAAGGATGCACTACATAACAAGCAGCACCCTGCTAAAGAAGCCTCCTGGATGCAGATGGTGGCATGCACTGCCACAAAGGAGCAGCAGCATTGCTGAACATGGTACAACACGGTACACACAGAGTTCTTCACGCTCCAGGAATAACAAGTGAGCCAAGGTGATGGGTATCAGCAAGGATGCACCAACAATGTTGCTTTTTGATGTGGAGCTACACCCAATGCCTTTGCCTGTCACAGCACACGCTGCAAACTGAACACACATACAGCATCCTGGCTGTATTTTGCTGTGCTTACAAAACCCTCCCTGCTCCTGTGCTTTGAAGGCTACAATTCCATCTGGCAGCCAAAAAATGAAGTGACATTAGGATCAGTAAATCTGAGCCTCCAAAATTCTGACATGGATATCAGAGTAAGACTCAAAACATTAAAATCACTGCTGAAGGATAATTTGACCTGCATAACCATACATTTTCTCACACATATATAATCATTTCCACAGGGGAGGGTGAAAAAAAGAAGAAAGCAAGCATAAATTGGAACCATTTTAAAAATTCATGTGACTTTTTGTTACTGGAATTGCCTTGTTCATTAGTGACAAAGATGTTAATTCTAGGAGAAGGTGGAATAGGAACATTATTAAAAAAATTAAGGAAGGTGTGTGCTAAAGCACCATTCAGAGTATGAAACATAAAGACTTTAAGTAAGCTCACAGGATCTTATGGTTACATCTGTACTTCACAGGCTTACAATGTGGATTTTTGAATTTTTCTAAGAAATTAAAGAAAAATCAGTTGTGATTCAAAATAGGAAGAGGGGGGAGACATCAAATTTGCTTGATGTTTGGAGAAGATCATGTGTTTACTACCCTGCTTTCCACCCACAACAAGTACACGTTTTAGCAATGAACAGTTGGAGAAGCAGAAGTTGCCAGTGAAAGTCAAACATTGACATGCAGAAGGCATCTTATTTTCTTTTTTTTCTTTTATGTTAATTCAGAAAAGAAAAGCTTCACCTTTTAGACCCTGGGATTAAATAGACAGCACTGAGCCCCTTGTTATCAGATAAGCTACTACCTAGGGAAACCACAAAAAGATAAAGCTAAAATTTTTGGCTTTCTCTCAGAAAGAGACCATGACCCTTCCCCCTGTCCTGAGTGAAAAGTCCCTGATGCCCTGGGCAATACCCAGCCATGGCATGCTCTTGCCTCACCATCAAAGTCACAAAGAGAAAAGCTGAAGAAGCTGCCAGAGTGCCAGTGGGCAGCACGCTGCCTCCGCAATACACAGCAGCACCTTCGGCCACCGAAAACACGTACATCCTTTTTTATTGCCAACTTACCATAAAGCAAATGTCTATTTTAGTTATTCCATCAGATGATGAAGCTCTGTTTAATTAATTTCCAATCCTTTTAAAATTATACATCCTTGAGAGCCCTGTTGGTCATGGCAAATGGTAATTTTAAAGAAAGCAATTCTGAGAACCAGCTGAATTTGCTTTCAAAAACATTATTTAAGAGCTACTCTGCCTAATATGTTCTACAACCATTCCCCAGCAAGTCTAATTGCAGATTTTCAAGCAAACTTTTTAACATTTTGTTCCAGTATATCTCTTCAAGCCAGGCTGTGACAAAGTTAGTGGAAGCTTGAACAATGGTTCTTGACAGTGGAATAACACCTTAAACTTCTCAAGGGCATGCCAGGTCAGTGTTCTTTCAGATTTTTTGCTACTCTGTTAAATTTTTAATATAGCTTCAGCAAATAATGAATTTACAGACTGGGACTGTTCCCAAATCAAAATACCTGCAACTGAAAATGAAGCAAAAATGCACAATGCCCATCGGTGGTATTAAGCTACATATCACCCATCAATCGTTACACAGACTAACAGTCATGGGAGACCATTTCAAAGCCAACATGGTAACTTTATAGGCAGAAAAAGGGTCAGGATGGCAATGGTAATATAGTGGGAGGAAAGCGGCGTGCAAGCTATAATTCATTATTTTACTACTACCATAGTACCCAAAAATCCCAGTGGAGTCCTAAGCTCCAGCCCGCTAAGTACTGCACACACATACAGTAAAGCCCCTTCTGCCCTGAACAATATATATTCAATACTTCTGAGGACAAAGACCATGAAAGAGGCAGTGGTGCTGTCCCTGCAGTGCAGATGGCCAACCAGGGCAGGAGGAGGTTATGCACCTCGTGCAAGGTCAGATGAAAAATCAATGGCAGGCGAATACAGGTCATCTGAATTGCAGTCTGGAGTCCACTGCAAGGCCAGCCCTCCCCACTCTGATGTATGGGCCAGTGCTGCTACAGGCTGTGCTTAGGTACTTCGTGCATCCTCCTGGAATGCCACTTTTCGCTACCACAAGTTGTTAATTCAGCAAGGAAAACAACAGCATCCCTCTGAATGCCCTGCAAAAACCCAGTTGTTTCAGAGCTGTACTCTGTCTGAGCCTCCCTCAGGGTTTTAGGACCCAACTGATACATGAGGCAGTCAGACACCAAGTGCAGAGAATACACGCCCCTTGAGGAACGCAAAACCTTCTGATAACCTCCCTAATCAATATCTCTCCAGTTACAAAAGTTCATGCAACACACAGGACTCCCTCATTTTTAGCAAAATTACATAAATGCAGGAAGGGCACTGTTTGCGGAGAAAACTGTGGCACAAGCCATTAAAACCAGTGATCCACAACAGAAGGAAAAAGGAACTCAACACTGCAGTTCTCCCTGGAAAAGCTCATCCTGGTTCAGCAGGATGGTTTATTAGGGGAGGAGCAGAATTTAACCCAGCAGCATTACCCTTGGCCCCTAAACGCAAGACCACTGTATGTTCTCTATTTCCATTAACTTCACAACTATTACCATCCGACTCCCCTCTGAAAAAGTAGAAGTCCCTATATTTTAGGGATTTGAAAATCAACACAAAATCAGTTAAGTTAAAGCCTTCCCTGTTGCAAACACACTTTGCTATAAATGGTAAGATTTGAGTGGCACCTCTGTAGCAGTTCCCTGCACTAACTGTAGATCAATTGAGTGCTTTATACACTATGGTGAGAGGATTTTTCAGAGCTAGACAACCCTCATTTCTTAGGATCATCATAGCAAATAGAATACATCTCATCATTTTCCTTTTCTGTCAATCAAAGCTATTTATCACAGAGGCTAAGAGTTGACCCATTAATGGGATAAGGATTCCTAATCTATCAAGAATATATGCCAACAACTAATCATTAGATCCTCTGTAAGCCTATACATTATTTACTTTTGACATAACACATTGTACAGATTTTTCTTTTACTCAAAATCATTCCTAGACCCACAGTGCTAGTGGATGAAGATGGCTACAGAGGGAAAATTGTTTTAACACCAGAAGAACCACAGAGCCTGTATCAGCTCCTCAGACAAGATAAATCAACACAGCCACTGACCTGATTTCAGTGGCACTAAGCTAATTTGCATCAGCTGAGCAGCGGACTCATTATCAATAGATTTGGAAATGAGCAAGCAGATGCAAAAAACTCATTTGGCATTGAAAGAATGGCAGTAAGAGGCTCTTATGAAGGTTTCTTTCTGAGAGTTTGATTTTTATGGCCACCCTAGTGAGTACCTAGCTTCCACACGGTGTGTGGATCAAGTGCTTGTGGATACTACAGCACAGGGCTCTTCCAAAGCATGAGTAGAAAGGGTTTGTTACATAGAAGATTTTCAAGCACATCCCAAAGGAACAAGCTGGCTGTGAGAAGGACAGAAAGGGGTTAAAGTGATGATATACTCCTCCCTTTTCACTCAGGTTACCCATTCTCCACCCCGACACCCATCCTTCAGAGATTCAGCTCAGAAAGGAGCTTGGTCATCCAGACTTATTTGTTTTTATAGTTCTGGAAAAGAGACAATAATCCAGACTCGAGACTCAAGTAAGAAGATAACTTCCATATTTAAACAGCTACACATATTTTCAGCCTATTTCAGGAGCACAGGGAAGATAACACGAAGCTCCACTTTCCAGGCTTACCATGCTAAGAGGATAAAAAGAGAACTCTTGTTAATACTTGTGCCTAGACAGTAGAGCATTATGGCTTGGATTCACAAAGGGATTTAGAACTCTAAGTCCCACTGAAATCAGGAAATGAATGGGACTTAGGGTCCTAAGGGCCTTTGAGAGTCCCAGTCTAAGTGCCTCCTCCTTTTGAAGGTGATGGGAACAATGCCATGGCATTAAACAAGGGCAGCGCCTGCCCTTAAAACTTTAACAATATTAAAAGACTAGAGGTTATCTGGTGACAAACAGGCACAACACCCTTGGTGAAGAGACTTTGGCCTGAATGCCTTTAAAGCTTCTACTGCACTCCATCAAATGGAGCTGAAGCAAAGTCCATACACGTCAATGAGAGCTTTGCAGCGAGATTAAGATTTCAGTCCAGGTCCTTGAGTCAGAGGCAGATGAGTTGCCACCGGGAAGACAAACTGTTCCATCAGCAAGCCTGGACCATGCACTGTTACTGCACAAAGCTCTTCGGGTAGGTTGGCAACAGTGCACAGTGTTGTGTAGTTTTACCAATGAGCCCCCTTTTGGTTTCCAATGATTAAAGCTTGTCATCCCCTGATCCACACTAACTTTAACAATTCTCTGAGAAGTAAATACAGTCATGATACTTGCACTTCATTTGTTATTGCTATTTTAAATACAGCTGTAATAAAGATCAGTGACATGTGCTCCTGTAGAATGGAACAGGGTCTCCCAATACAGGTGGTATCAACATAACTGAAATTTTATACACTGGTAAGGCAAGAAAAAAATATGAACAATATGACAATTCTGTACTCCTGAGCACAGATTAAGAGAAATAAAGGGCATTATCTAAGCAAGTGTCAAGTGTATAAATATTATTATCTGCTAATAAGCCCTTCATTGTGCTGGTGTAATATGTATGTCCCTTTTGCTTATACAGCTCCAGAAAGCTTCATAATGTAAGACAAGGGTATCCCAACAGATGACCTAATGGCAACTGCATTTGCATGGCAAATCCCTCTCTAACCAGGCTCTTGAAGGCTTCAGTTTCTCTTCCCTGTTCCAGTAGAGTATTGAGGCTGAGCTGGTAAGTGCTCAGCCTCATCTATGGCACTTTTCTGTTCTACTTTGTTCACAGCACATAGCCAAGAAGACCATGAGGCTGTTTTACAAGCTGTAACAATTTTGACAAATGGTCTTTCCTTAAAAAGCATCCCTGAAATCTTCTAGTGCTGTAGACAATTTGACACGGGGTCAGAAGAGATTCATCATCACTGCAGCAATGCTATCTCAACCCCCAGAACATGTAGCTAAAGCTGCCTCTGCTCTACCTAGACAGGAGGAGTGGAGGAAAAAAAGAAAAAGAGGTGTTTTGGTTTTTTTTTTTTAAAGAAAATCAATAAACACCAGCACTTCATCTCTGCTCAATTTAGCCCTTTCTGGGAGCATAGATAATTCCTGATGGCAGTTGTCCAAAGTGTCCAAATTCAGACAGTCTGATAGCCCTTTCAGTAGGGTTAGTCCGGGCAGAGACAATAATCAGGCCTCCCACGACGAATTTCATTCAACGAGCAGTGCTGATTACGGGAGTGGTTCGAATCATCACACAGTATTGACCAGAGATCAATTTTCAGCTTGAGGTATTGTGGAGAACATATAGTACACAGCTAAGCTAAAGGCGGGGAGTAGGAATTCAATAGCCTACCCAACCATGTCAAATAAAAGCCTGAACAGATAGATGCTACAGTTTCTACCCCCTGAAGCCCATGTTTTTAAAGGTATACCCTGTGATGAAAGGGAGCCCGAGGAACTATATTTCATCATTACATTTTGCTGCATCATTAAAATTACCATTTGGTTTCTCCACCCCAAATTTATTTCAACAGTCAATGTGTTTCGCATTAAAAGAAAACGGCAACTTGCTCAAACAGCTCTTCCTTTGATCCCATCTTTCCTTAATTAAAATTCTCTGAGCCAGGTAATGACTGCCCTTCCTGCTGCAGGTGCCTCATCTTCCAGCAGTACATTGTTTTTCACCTCTACCCATGTCAACCATCAGAACTTTCAGCTCTGACCCCACACCACCACCATCTCTGTAAAAGGGGAACAGCTATGCTCCCTGAAGACCCCATACTGCCAAGCATTGCTGCAAACTTCTAGCCCTTCACACTTTTAAGAAAAAAAAACATAAAACAACCTAGGTTTAAGGCAAGAAATACAGCACATCCTAAAAATAGTAAAAAAAAAAAAAAAAGTTGCTTGAGAAGGGATTCCTTTCCCAGGTATACTCACTGTCATGTATACTACAGGATCACGAGTTCTTTAGAGGATTCAAAGAGGAACCAGGGCTTCATTCAGCTCTGTGGCAAAGAAGAGAAGGTCAAGGTACATTAGGCATCTATCAAGTACCAGCTCCCAGGAAAAGAGCTTTCACTCAGGGAAAGCTGCACCATAAGTAATCTCCTTCACTTCTCTGGCCCCTAATGCCTAGTTTTGCTCCTCAGCACACAAGAGGATGCTGGGATCCTGTGGAGGGAGGGAGTGGATGTGGGAGGAGACACATACAGATGCTCCCAAATCTTCACCTTCTGGATGGGACAAGTTGCTGCAGATAAAATGGCTGTGGAAACACATGACTTCACAAGCCAGCTTAGGACCATGGGGCTTCTACCTGGAAAAAATGTGCGTTACTTGCAGGGGGAGAAACTGAGAGTCAGGTACCCATGTAGACCTTGGTCTGTCTGCACTGAAAAGTTATGGTGACTACTTAGATTGAGGTTTTCTTCATGTGAGCAAGGGTAGAGAGCTTAACCTTGTAGAAGAATTTTTTTACTTTTTTTGGCAGATTTTTTTTTCTCATCTGTTATTTACAGAACCTATTTTATAATTTCCACAGGGCTCAAAGCCAGTAATACAACATGTCTTTTAAAAAGGAAGACAAACTTGAAAATGGTTAATATAAATACCACATCAAATCACAGGAAAAGTAAATTCAGCAACAGTGAATGTTGTAAAGTCATTGAATAACACTGCAAGTTGTAGTGTAGCAAGGAGGAACAAATTTCCTAACATCAGCCTCCCCACCAAGAGATCCGGTCCATATCCAAGCCTAACACAGAAAATAATAAAACGAGAAATTCCCAGCTGGAGCAGGTGAAATCACAAATCAGTAGCTGTACTGAGTTGACTTCTGACATCCACAAACAAAAAGCAGGAGCTTATGCACATGGAGCATTTCAATGTTCTGCATAAGATCCTACTGTTTCTCTTCACTCTCTCATTTAATGTTTTCTTCTTGTTTTTTTTAAGCTATTTAAGTCCTCTTACTTGCGCACTTTTTTTTTCCGACTTTAACTGTTCTCAAGTCCTTTTTGTGTATTCTCCAACCTTCTTCCTCTTAGTAAGCTAAACATAAAATCAAATCGAATTTGACTATGAATGGGCAAAGAAATATAACTCTGTTGTCTAGGGAAAACTATATTAAATGATCCCATGCAAACCTAGCTATAAGACAGGAAGGACCAACAGTATTTAAAAACAGGGAGATGTCAGAAGATGATTTTGTGTTGGTTTTTTTTTTCCTTCTGCCTATTTTTCAATCTGTCAAAATGCAAATATAAGAAAAGGTAAAAATAGTGCTGAATGTTTGAAACAAGAGAATTAAGTCAGTTTTAAGAGTCTCAGCTTAGAGATCTCTCATCTACATAAGCTATGTGTGCTAACAGAGTAAAGTGCTAAAATGCATCTGAGCTGCAAACAGGGGATTGGTATCCTGCAGTGACACAAAATTACAGCTGGATGACAGGGCCTGCAAAGTTAAATTGTATTGCTTTAAAGAAGAATAAAATAAGAGTACTGCTAGGAAATGCAGGCTGCTATACAGTAGAGTATAACGTGCACACACCAGGATCAGAGCTCTCTCTTATTATTCCACTATTGTAGTGGCCAAGGCATGCCAAATGAATTAAGCAACTTCATAGAGATTCAGCAGCAGAAATAATTTCAATTTAATAAAAACATCCATATATATATATAAAAAGACATGGCCTGAAGCTTTACAAACCACAGAATTTCTATCAAGTATTTAAAATATTAAATGAGAAATTTACCTCCTAGTTTTACAAGTCGCCTTCTGCCCTCAAGAAGAACAGATGAGGTGTTCCTCCTTTTCTAACCTCAGCCAACTACATTTTTTCTGAAGATATTTCTGTGCCTTTATTTCCAGCTCCTCCACTCTGCAGAGCTTTGTGTTACGGTGTAGCACTTTTCCCAGGACCGCCCCCCTGTCTTGTAATGCACCAAATATTTGGATTTTTTTCTATTTCCCTTTACTATAAAAAGCATCTTTAGTCATCTAGTTGCTTTCAAAAACAAGTACTTTCAGTGTGCAAACCAATGTGTCATCAGAACATTTTTTTTAAATGCTGCATACTTGCCCTTTAAAAATAATTAAAAAAACCCAAGTTGGACTTTTAATAAGT